TCACTCAAGATGCATGAATAATTATCAGTGATTTGAATGCAAAAATTGGCAACAAAAGTAAAGAACAGTAGTTGTAAAATCAGGTCTCAGTGAGATATATGAAGCTGGAGACCACATTAGGAATTTTGCAGACCAACGACGTGTTCATATCAAATTCCGTTTTCAACCACACAAATGGCAACTATACAGATGAACCTCTCCAGGTAGAATACACAGAAATAAAACTGACTACATATGTAAGCAGACATTATAGAGAAGCGCAAAATCAATAGATAAAACCAGGCCAAGGATCAACTTCGGAACCGATTATCAATTGTTCATATGGAAGTTAGACTGAAGCTGAGGAACATTAAAACAAGTCCACAAGAGTCAATATATGACCCTGAGTATATCCCATATGAATTTTCAAAACATCTCAAGAACAGGTTTCCTGTATTGAACACTAATGACAGAAGACCTGAGGAGCTGTAGGAGGCCATCAAGAATATTATTCATGAAGAAAACAAAATGTCATTAAAAAGACAGGAAAGAAAGAAAAGCTCATAGTGGGTGTCTGAAGAAACGCTGTAACTTGCTCTTAATCATGGAGTAGGTAAGGTAAATGGAAGAAACAATGTTCAACCGAGTAAAAAATCCAAAGGCCAACTTGATTAGACAAAGTAAAATATTACAATGAAATTTGCAAAGACTTAGGGTTAGAAAAATCAAATAAGAACACTCTCAACAACGTACCTTAAACTGAAAGAACTAAAGAAAAAGCTCAAGCCTGAGTTACAAGATTGAAAGATTCTACTCCACAACATAAAAATAAAGCATCTTGTTATTTAAAGTTACATTTTAATTATTTCAAATATAAAACAAAATATTCTTCAAAATTTCCCTGTGAGTTAAATTAATACCATACCAAAGGGTTTTATTATTGCTTAAGTTACTATTATAGCATTTGCTTTATAACAAGCATATAATTAGGTTGACAGAATTACTATAAACAAAAATTAAGTAGAATGTATGTCTACAGCTAACAAAAAGCTTTTTGCTGCTGATGAAATTTTGTCTGCAAGGACACTTTTTCTATCCTATACAATTTGAGGGCCAGTTTATGGTATCAACATGAGGGGGTTTTGTTTGTTTGTTTGTTTGTTTTTTCAATTCGTGTGAATTGTAGATGCTTGTTTGTTAGTTTCATCATAATATTCTCTCCATGAAAATTTTAAGTGGTAAAAAGAATTACAAGTATGTAATTCCACTTTCTTTTGTTTGAGAGAAACTTATTTTCTGAGTCTTAATGCAGACACACCATATATGGAGGTTAGGCCTAACAGTTCTCTGAATAATAATGAAAATCTGCCATGGAAATGAACTTGTTCCTCTGAATGCCAGTGCCTACACACATTTATTCACAGATATATGACTTCTGGTTCTTATTCCGTGTTGGTAAAAGTGGGTCAACTTCCCATTTCATCTACTGTTATGTGAAGAACTGGTACCCTGAATGCATGTAAGACTGTCTGGGGAAGAATGTTGCCCCCAAAAGACAAAATATTACTAGCATTGTTTTTATAAAATACTCAATGAATTTTTTCCATTATATATGTAACGCCAATGAGGCCATTTCTATGATTTTACGTTAAGTTGTTAAAGTGATGTATCTTACTCTGTCACTTAGGGCCAAATGCTAAAAATCTAGATTTAATGTTGGGGTAAGATATCAGAATTTCCACAGAAGTCCAGATTATTTTATGTATGCTTTGTTGAGATTGTAACTCAATGTCAACATTGGATGATAATCTGTATTTCTTCAGAGGGAAAAAAACCAACACCTTGTTACTGGGAATATGTTTAATTCAATGTTAATGCTTGAATGGAACATAAAGATTACCTTACAAATCCGGCTAGACCAGAGCATGTACACGGGTACAGATAAGAGCTGGAAACACAGGGAATCCAGGACAGATAAACCCCTCAAGACCAATAATGAGAGTAGTGATACCAGGAGAGGAAGGGGAAGGTGGGGGAGAAAGGGGGAACCAGTCACAATGATCTACATATAACCCCCTCCCTGGGGGACAGACAACTGAAAAGTGGGTGAAAGAAGACATCGATCAGTTTAAGACATGAAAAAAAAATGTATAAATTATCAAGGGTTCCTGAGGGAGGGTGGGGGAGGAAGAAGGATAAATGAGGAGCTGATATCAAGGGCTCAAGTAGAAAGAAAATGTTTTTAAAATTATGATGGCAGCAAATGTACAAATGTGCTTGACACAATGGATATATGTATGGATTGTGATAAGAGCTGTGTAAGCCCCCAATACAATGATATAAAAAAAAGATTTTCAGTGCCAAATGCAACCAAATACATAAAAATGTAAGTGAGAATATGATTGTGCAAATATATTAAAAATCATTTTATTGGGGGCTTGTACAACTCTTATCACAATCCATCCATACATACCAAAAGTAGATTAAAATTCTATTTGCTACTATATTCCATGTTGAACATTCAGTCTTTTTGAGTGTAGTATGCAAACAAATCAAAATTTATTAGACTGTTGAAATTAGTCTTCAATAAGAAATCATTTTGTAACTTCTATGACCAATGATATATTCAGGATCTACATATCAGAAATAAGGCAGTGCTACTATATCATCAAAAGTCCTGATGGTGATAACTTGAATTATGAATTAAAATTCATAGTTTTCTATATACTAATAAATCAAATATAAGGGAAGAAAGCAAGTATCCACAATCCTAGACCTATCCTTCTTTGAGCAAGTAATTTGATGAAAATTTCACCCAAATATCAACTTTCTCTATGAAATTATAATTAATAATTTTTAAAAATGTTTCCTTTTCATTATTTAAAACATTACAGTAACATATTTAGTTGCTGATCAATATGTATTGTAAAGTATGTGTTATATGATCTACAATAACCTTAGGTTTGAAAAACACTACTCAACTTGAATGTGCCAGGTATGTCTCATATTTGCCAATTAATAATGAAAACTTAACACACCAGTGATATTCAAGAGATATTAATTTGGAAGTGAATGAGTTACTATCACCAAAATTTTAAAAGACAGTGCTTGTTTTCAAAGGGAACTTTCAATATATATTCTTATCTTAGTGGGCTTATTGGTAATTTCTATCTGACGTGTGTATCTTTTGAGAATTCTAGGAAGAGAGATATGTTCCCCATTGATATTATAAAAATGTACGTGAGAATATGATTGTGCAAATATTTTAAAAATAATTTTATTGGGGGCTCGTACAACTCCTATCACAATCCATACATACATCCAT